AGTTTAAATCATATCTTTAACCAGTGTGTGGGACACAAGTGTTTCATTTTAGATGTTATCAAGGACTGGGCTTGTGCAGGCGGCTGGTTTATCCTTTGCTCTGTGTCTGTTTAACACATACAGGTACACAACTTATAAATCCTGTATTCTGTCCGTCCCCAGTTATCATCATCAAGACTAAAATCTGCCAGAGTTGGACTGCAGCAAGGTTCTAAGACCCTTCATTTAATTTACAATCTGCATATTTTCACTACAACAATAATGAAATGTCTCAAGTGTTTCAAAAAATCTGCAGTGTTACCATGATGGCTAAAAAAGACTAGAAGGAGTCAAGGCAACAGAAGGAGAGGCCCACCATATATCAGCATCCATTAGAGCCCATAACAGATTTCAGGAGTTGTGCTTCAGAGGAGTAGTGGCAAGTTAGAGGAGGATGACTTGTTTTTGCTCACCACAATGTTTTACATCCAGACAAATGAGGAAGCTGGTAGGAAAATAATGAGGGATATAGTGAGAAAGAGAGAGAGAAAGAGAGAGAGAGAGAGAGAGAGAGAGAAGTGAGTAAAGTGAGAAAGAGGAGTGATAAAAGAGACAAACTGTGAAAAGAGAGGGTTAGCCTTTAGCCAAAAACAGGCTCTTAAATATTAATACAGCGATTTGAATTAATTCTAAGCACACTGAATAATTGAGAAGTATCTTTGAGGAGAACAGGTTGTGCAGAGTGTGACATGGCTGGGCGATGAGGATGCAGCCCAGTGAGTAAAATTATATGGAAAAACACTGCTTTTGTTTCTTTCTTGCTCAGGCTTTTCACAGCCATTTATACTAAGAAGGACAGTACATACTATGGACACAAACACACAAGGGAAACTTCAGTAGTTAGATACCACGTTTCAAATGCTGAACTAATTAGGACAGAAAATCTGATGAATAAATACAGTGTCCACTTTCACACAGAGACAGTCTCAACCTAACAGTGCACATATGCACAATAAGAGGTCCATTAACAAACTGGACAAACTGGCTGGCTTGCACTGGTTGCTGTAACACCTTTCAGATGGACTGGGACATCACTAGTGCTGTTGGAGCTGAATGGAAGCAAATTGCAGCCAGGAAAACCTTATGGAAAGTTTTCCCAGAAGAGCGAAGGCTATTATAGCAGCTCATTGAAGCCCATGGTTTGGAAATGACATGTTCAACAATCACATATGGATGTAAAGTGTCCACACACTTTTGACCAAATAGAGTAATTTTGGGATGTAAAATTTAGAGGCAGTAAAGTTCCTCGGGCATCCCAAAAAAAAAAACAAACATTAGAAATAGAACTAGAACAGAGCCTGGGGGTTTTCCTGCACACAGAGGTTAACTACTCTGGGTGACACTATTCAGACTTGGAGGTGTGCCTAGAGCTGGTGGGCTCCCATTAGCCTATTGCCTCTTTACCCCCAGACACGCCCTCAAACCCCTCCACTGGGAATCACAGCTAGAGGGCAGTTGTATTACACCACTTTAGAGCAAAGCTTATTAATTTACTCCCCCAGCTCCCTATCCCATCTCCCCCTTCTAATCACCTTTTTTTGCTTCAGTCCCTTCAGATTGGCACAGTGCCAGCGCTGGCTACCTGAGTGCACATACAGGGCGCCTGACTCCCAGACTCCCAGCTAATCTTTGTGGTATTTTTCTCCAGTAACATAAGAATTTCTTTACTAGCCAATTATCCTATTGTAGACCTCAGACAGTGCTAACTAGTTTAGCACTGTGTGTCAGTTTCATGAGTGTGACACAAAAAGCTCATTTCACTCTGCATTGATGCTTTCTTTTGTTGTCAGTCCTTTCCTTTTTAATCAGCCCCATCCTGCTCTAATAGGAACAATACATAATTTCAGCCCAACAGAATCAACACTCTCAGTTTGCTAGGCCATTAAAAAGGAAACTGACAGGGCTGTTTTCCATATACCTCCAGACAAAGGGCAGTAGTGGTTGAGTGTGTAACTGAGTGTGTGTGAAGGCTGTGCCATGGATGAGCCTCTGTTGCTTTTGGCCTCTTTGTGGAGTGACAGATCAAATGAAAAAATATTTGTTTAACTCTTGAGATTATGACTCACTGGTTTGTGGTTTTAGCTTGAACTTAAGTACCTGCAAATAGCCGCCAATTATAACTGCGCATTAAGAATAATGTAAGTGTTAACTAACACCCTCATGTCGACAATCAACATTACTAGCTGTGACCCCAGGGGTTGTAAAGATAAAGACATCTAATTAATGAATTCTAATGAGGTAAACTCCCTGTATAACGTAAGACCTACAGCTGAATCATGAAATCACCATGGGGCGATAAGCCTGAACATGCCCAGGCAAATGCTCTGCATGTCTGTGCAGGGAATGCATGTCAGCTTTAAAAACACATGCATGAACCTAAGCAACCAGCTTTATCTGAAGCAGAGAGATGTGGATGTACCATGTATGTGAGTACATATGGTCGTTAAAGCCCAATAACATTACATGAAAATACCAGACATGTAACAGTGTGTGTGTATTTATGTAGAGTGTCACTGTGACATAACAAGGTCTTGGCCTGTGATGGGCAGCTGCTGGGAACAGGGAGCAGTGTTAAGTAACGCTAGAGTCCACAGTCCAGTGCAGCCAGGAATACTTACACGCACACACACATACATACACACAGGTGGACCTAATCTTTCAGTTATGTAAAGACACAAATTAAAAACACAGACATGCTCAGAGTGGTACAGGCATGTTTAATGGTGCTATTTTAATCTGTAGTCCATCACACCCAGCTATACCAAAGCTTCTCTTAGCACACATTTCAGCAATAGCCCCCCTCCCAGGTCACATCTCCTGCTGGATAACTCCCAACACCTTCTGGTGTCATCTGTGGTATCAAACCGGCAGACTGGTCCGACATCTGAGCTGTCAAGACTCTCAGTAGGATCCCGTAAACAATTCTGATTTGATTTTGTTTATAATAATACAAAACCTCAGTTTCATCACAAATACATTTTTCTTTTGCTACCCTGCTTTGAAAAGTATAAACTTTTCTTTTTACAAAAAACTTTTTTTTTCTCATGTAACAAAAGACCAGTTTCATTTAAAACAGGAACTTTATGATAAGCTAAAAAGTCAACAAGATTATGAATCCATCTGTTTTGTTTAATACAACAAAAAGTACTGAAAAGTGAACTAGCTGACATCCTCTGTCCTGAGTTCATTGTTATGTAAGAACAAGTAACTGCCCAAACAGTTTCTATTATAAGCCTATCTACTGGCTTCTCTTGGTTAAAGACAGTTTCCTGGTGTCATGCTTGGCTCTTTTAACCTACTTTTAACAGGGTTAATGGTTAACTGACAAAGATACAAGGCAGAATGATGTAAGTGGGAACCTGAGAGAGAAACCCAGGGGGGATTACTAGGATTTACTCAGCAAATCTCCTCAACAAAGGTGCCCTGGCTGCATGAAACTGTAGGTATTCAAACCCGGCTCTGTGTGGAGGTGAAATCTAAGAGTCTCTGAGACTGAAATGGAGAACAGAGGGGTTCTGAAAATCTATTCTGAACACCTGGCTCTTTTTTTATTTTTATAAATCCTTACTACAGCCCAAGAATTGTTCAGGTCTTAAATGCTGAAGAAACCTATCAATTTGGAGTTGTAGAGGTGTAAGCCTACAGTATATATTGAAGGAATGAACCCCAGCTCTGTGTTTTATAATGAAACAACTAGAGTCTGTAATGAAAAGAGTCTCTTACCAAAAACAAAAACGGGCACAGGCTGTGAACTATTGACAGACCATGTGCAACACTACACCACTGACAGCCTGGCCCTTCATGCCCAAAATTCCGGGAGTAACAACTCTCTGTGTTGGCGGTGACCCGGCCTTGACTTGGTGGGGCTACACACACAGCCTCCTTCTTTGCTCTTCACTGACGCCTATCGCATAGCAAAACTTGAGAAGCATAACAAAATACGGCCTATGGGCTCCACACCCTGTGGTCCTTTAGCCTCTGATAGGTGTTAATGTCTCCTCTCTGGACCGACTGCGCTGCCCTCCTACTCCAACTCTTTTTTGCAGATCCCTAATGTCTTTGGATGATGAGATCACTCCCTTTAAAAAAGCTGCTTGTCCCTTAAGAGCTCATTCAAGCTCAGTGCAACCCAGTAATTATGTAATTCCCTCATGGGGGATCAGCATCCTTGGCAGTTACCTACCTGACCCAAGAGGCTGACACATCCCTGCCAAGGTTTACACAACAAATGGCAAACGGGGCAATGCCTCTGTGGTTACAGTAGCATGGAGGAAATGTTGCTTCTAAATATAAAAGCAGTGAGTGAGAGAAGCATAAAGTCATTATAATCTGACTACTCAGAACCACAAAAAAGTAAAAGCCTGAAAGTGCACCAGGGGGAATTGTTACAGTGAAATACAAATAAATATAGGACTTCACATTTCTGTTGCTATTCAGCTCCTTGTTCGGACAGTGAATCATCTGCTGATCTGCTTGTCTCATTCAAAGCAGACTTTTTCATTTCCAGGCAAACCGGTTATAACGTTTCTCTTTGCTCTAACTCCTGCCATGTGACCGTGCCCTCAGGAGAATGTTGCACACGCAACTCTGCAAAAACAGCAGATAAAAAAAGACAAAGGACGCGCATCTGATACAAATTCGCTCAAAACTCCACAGCCTTATTTGTCTGACTTGCAATAAGTGCAAGATATCGTCGGCTGGCCGTGTGGGCCACCAGACCTTCCGCTCCTTAAAGAGATGAATAATTTCATGTCCCCACTTTTATATTTTCCCTGCGACTGATTTGTAATTTCCACTGGAATGATAGGCGCTAGAAACGCGACTGCGCTGGCATAACTGTGTCCGTGTGCGTGCGTGTGTGTGTGTGTAAGTGTACGTCAGTGGGTTTACAAACCACATGCTTTTTGTTTTTGTTTTGATGGAGGAAGGAGGGGCCCGTGGGTGAGTGCTGCGACCCTTACCTTCCATCCTGCAGAGCTGTTGCTGTCGCCTTTGTCTTTGAAGTAGGGGATGGATTTCACCATCCAGTCATAAATCTGGGACAGTGTCAGTCTTTTGTCAGGCGCGCTCTCAATTGCCTTCGTTATCAGATCAGCGTAGGAGAGATTCCCCCATGCGTTACGGCGAGACGATGCTTTTCTCGGGGTCTGCTGAGCAGCTAGGGCGCTGGGTGTCAGCGCGCCAGAGGTGCCCGTAGGGGAGTGTGTGGAGAGCGGGGAGCCCCCGCTGTCCTGGCCTGGAGAGGAGAGCGCTCCATCGGCTACAGGGCTGTTGCTGCTCTGGTCCTCTGTCGCCACCCCAGAGTCACTGACACTGGCGGCCATAGGGGTGGCATTGTCCTCTTCATCATCCTCTTCCTCTGGGATAATATCTGCGTCATTGCTCTCCGGTTTTACCGCGTTCGAGTCTGGTCGTGGTAGCGGCCAGGTACAAGATCTGGGTCGCTTCTGGGGCTCGAAGTCCGGGTCGATGACCACATTCAAGCCTGGGAGTGGGTCGGGGAGCGGAGCTTCAGCCATTATCCTCTGCTCCAGTCACAATCTCGTCCCCGGTGACAGTTGATAAAGTTATAAGACAAGAAATGAAGAGCTGTCAAAGTCGCGTCCCATGTATGCGCACTCCCGTCCTTTGTTGCTATTCCACACCAAGTCCCAACAGGGTCAAGAGCAACTTATGATTAAAGCCTGTTGAGGACATAAAGGAATACTATATGAACCCGAAACACTCGGTTAGAGACTAGACAAAATCTAAATTATGCCACAAAATATGCAGGCTCTTTACTAAATGTTTGTCAACATTATCAGTGAAGCTATAATAAACTTCTTAAAATTAACAAAGGGGCTTTAAAGCTATTCGCCTCTCCGAGCTTTACTAGGCTACATTAATAATACAGCACCACTTGCTCTACACAAAATGCCGCCTTTGTGCAATGATCTGAATCGACCAACCGGAGATTAGTGGAGGAGAAAGTGCTCCAACCTCATCTCTCTGGAAAATAAATCCCCACTGCACACTTTAAATGAAATACCTTGCACGACCAGTCCCTTGCGTTCCGTAGTCCCCCCCAAAAAACCAGCCAGACTAGATCACGGACTGGCCACAGCCACTTGCAGATGCCATCTTGACTTTTACCTCTTTCACTCCTCAAGTGCGCTTAGCGAGACACATAGGATGTATGCAGGATAAGTCAACGTCGATGTGGAATAAGACTGCCACCTCACTCTGGGTTACTACTGTGTCTCGATTTGCTCCTCGCGCGCACACACACACATTTACGTACACACATGTGCGCGCGCGCGCACACACACACACACACACACACACACACACACACAGACACGTCGATCAAGGGCCAGCCCCCTGGATCCTGTGCATGGAATCGCCTTTTAAAGAAACAGTCCTGTAACACGGCCCTGTCCGTGCACAGGAGGAGGTTGGGGCACATCTTGTATTGTTGGTGGTGGGCACATAATAGTGACACAGCAGAACAAGAAAAGAGAACCGTCCTAGTGAAGTGATACGTTTATTTGGTAACATGGTAAATGGAGTGTTCACGTGCCAAACTTTAGTTTGCAGGATGGTGTCATTGATTTAAATAACTGGCACTATAAGGGTGCAACACTTTTGTTTCTGCTTTGTTACAGGCCCATTAAGTGTGATTTTAAAAAGCCGTTTTGGGCCGCAACTAACAAATATTTTCATTATTGATCAACTATTTGGTTCATACAGTTTCAGAAAATAATAATATAAAATGCCCATCTGCATTTCCCACATTTAATTGAGTTGATGGTGCTTCACAATACAAGCATTCAAAATGTGATATTACATGTACTTCGACTTCATCTCCCATCGCCGTTGTTGCTTCTGTGTGACGCCTGACACCTTTAATCACGGGCGCAGGTTGTCAATCACGCAAAGTAACGCCCCCTCTGGAGTCCAGGATGACGTCATCTCACTTGATTAGCCAGAGACGAGGTGAGAGATTGTTCTCCATCCTGTAGGTGATGCTATGGACCCCCCC